TGCGTGAACCATGATACCGCCCCCAGTTCGGCGTAGACCGCGCGCGCAGCGCGCTCCGTGTTTGCAGACCGCCCTGGCGGACTCGTTTCCACTTCCAAGCTCAAGCCAGGCGCCGCAGGCCATAAAGAGGAGCGCAGATTAAAATGGCGCCGGAGGCTCCCCGCGGGGCCGTCCGCGCAGAGAACCTTTGTCTAAAAACAAAACAAGAAAATCGATGAGACACCACTAGGGGCTGGGGGGCTCCGATCTCCATCTCTCCAGTACTCTCCAATCTCCAGCGTCGCTACATCTTAGGCCGGATCCAGTCAGATCTCCGATCTCCATCTTCCATCTCCAATCTCCAACGTCGTCATCTTAGGCCGGATTCAGTCAGATCTCCGATCTCCATCTCCAATCTCCAATCTCCAATCTCGATTCGGGGGCCCGGGGGAGGAGGGGGGCTCAAACCTTCAAGGAGATGCGCTATGGATTCATTCACATAGCAAAAGGATCTCCACACTCTTTTCGCGCCATTTTGCAATCTCCAGTCGGCCCACACGATCTCTAGGCGCCTTTGGCGCGAAGTCAGAATCTCCACCTCTGTCGCAAGATCTCAAGCGACTGCACGCACCAACTCGAGATCTCAGACTCCTCTCGAGCATCTACTCCGGAGAAGATTTGCCTCCACCAGTTCTTCAATCTACTGCTGCTCTTGGCAGGAGATTTGCCACTTAAGAGATCTCTGAAAGGCATCTACGATCTACAGTCCAAGGATCTTCCGATGTAGCGCAGAGATTTCCATGTATGTCACACCCATGGTCTCACAGTGTGCCAGCAGTCGCCGAGCAGTGTCGCTCACACAAGCCGCAGCACTAGTGACTGAGGGCCAGTGAGGGCGAGCCCATCGCTGTCACAGCTGTGGCAGCCGCACAGTAGGCTGTGTCAACTGTGCAGAGCGTGTGAGCAGCAGAGGAGCTGCTCTCCAGGCTTCAGGCGCAAAGAGGTGCATGCCACCGAAGGCGCTGTCGAGGTTCGCCGAGCGCGGCGCAGGTTGAGGGACACCGTCACCGACGAGCGCGTTGGACTTTTCACTCCGGACAAAGACGGCGGCACGCACACGAGCTGCGGTCGTGCCGCCGTCATAGCGGCGAGGCGCGGGACCGTCTGTGGCGAGGTGGGTCGCGTCCCTCGATTTCCGTCAACTCACGGTCCACGCCTGTATGTTTTTTATCCCCTCGGACCCTCTGTCCGATCGAGCACCCACTTCTTTTGCAGTGTATGTAGCTCTTACGTTTTGCATTCATAAAAAGGGTGGTTGGTTGCTGTGCCTGTGGTCTGACGTATCATCTGTTAGGTTTAGGTAGAAAGGTGAAGAACAGTCAGGCTCGGACTGGACACCAGCGCGGTATGGGTGGACGCGGGACAGATGATGACGACACGCACGAGCAACACACAGACACAAACAGGCTCACAAGACACACAGCCAGCTGGCTGCCACACACCCTGAGTTGGCGTGCACATAACTCCGGGCCACATCCTTCCTGTCGCCCCCCCCAGCACTCCAACGTGCCAAAGGAACAAAGAAGGGCACAACAACACAACAGACGACAGGAAGTAACATGTGAGACTAGAGCAGGCTTGCTCCGCCTCTAGCAGTGCAATCTCGCCGCCAGCCGCAAGGCATTCACGAGACCGTGTGTGTGGGGTCATGTGAGGCGTCTATGGATGCCCTCCTCAGAGGCTAGCGACCAGCCGCCAGCCCTATCTCGCACTCACGGGCAGAGTGACAATTCAATGGGTGAGTGGTTGCGAGCAGAGAGGCGCGTGGGCTGAATCTAGATCGCACGCCATGGCATGTCTGTGGAGAGAGAGTTTTGTGTGAGAGAGATTTTGTGTTTTGTTTGCTGTGGAAGGGAAGGGGCCGACGGAAATTAACAAAACAACTCTCTCCCTCTCCGGAAATTAAGGGGAGAAAAAACAACAAAAAGTGGCGCTCGCCACCTCGCTCGCACTCGGTCTTGAATTCTTTTAGTTAGTCGACTTCCCTCCCCCCTGCGCACGGGCCCTCTAGGCCAAGGCTCGCGAGTAATCCCTCCCCCTTCCCCAGTGCTCCCCAACGCACACGATGATAGGCTCCAGGCCCCAAATGACGTGTGAGTGTAAGAGGGTCTGTGAACCTCCAGGGCTCGCACCTCAACCTCTCACAGTCTCACAGACCAGCGCACAGCGCCATCCGAGGTATTTTCTTCTCAATAACAACGCTGTGAACGGCGCTCGTCGTCGGCGATCGTCGGCTGCTCACTCTGATCCTCACTTCTTGTGAAGTGGCTGCGGCAATAGCAGACAGCGTCGGCGCGTCTCATGATGGTGGATTCACCCTTCTGCTCGACCGGCACAGTTGGGTACTCCACCCGCGCGGAAAATTACGGCAGAGTGACGGCAGTGTGCTGCCACGGCGCCTGCCCTCGCTGCGCCGATCGCGAGGAGTCGCCCGAGTGCGACGCGAGCGCGATCGCCGACGGCGCGTTGTGCTCCACGGCCAGCGCGACAAGCTGCGTCCTGCCAGCCTCGGCGGGTGGACTGGCGGCCAACACGTGTGTGGATGCATGGGCGCTCGCCTTCCCCACCGAGGTGCACCGCTGGCAGGGTCGGTCCTGCCACTTTAAGCGGAAGTGGCGGCAGTGCTCCGAGTTTTGGGCTGGCTGCCGCTGCTCCTGCGGCAACTGCAGCGCGAGCGGTGGGCACCAGCCACAGTCTTGCGCGCCGCACGCCGCCATCACCACCGCCGCCGCCATCGCCACGGACGGCGCGAGCAACCTCAAGGCGCTCGCAGGCCCGCCCCCCTCGTCCTCCTCGTCCTCCTCGCCGCTGTCCGGCGCAGCCACGGCGCTCGCCATCGCCGCCGAGGCGGGCGGTGCCTCGCCGGCCACGGTGGCAGTGCTGCTGACCGGCGGCGGCTCCGTTCTACTCTTCGCTGGCGTCGCCCTCTGCTGCTTTCTCAGCGGAGGCAAGGGCGGAGGCAAGGGCGGCGGCGGCGCCTCAAGCCGCAGACAGCGCAGGCCTCGGTCCGGCGCCGCCTCGCCGCTCAGCGACGAGGACGAGTTCGGCTCGTTCCACGGGCCGTCGAGCTCGTGCTGGCTTGAGGACGACGACGGCAGCGGCGAGCGGCGGGCGGGGTGCGGCGAGCAGCGGAGCCTCCTCCCCGCGCGCAACGCCGCCCGCGGGGCCAGGGCAGACGCCGCCCACGGGGCCAGGGCAGACGCACGGGGCGGGGCCAGGGCGCGGGTCCTGACGCTGAGCAGCCTGGGGGCCTTCCCTCGCCTGCTGCCGGCTGGAAAGGGCAGGCTGCGCGCGGGCAAGGGAGGCCTCCCCTCCCCTATCGAGGAGGAGCACGCGCCGCTCTGCGCCTCGGTCACGCCCGCCGAGCAGGCCCTTAGCCCGCACGCTGGCCTAACCCTAACCCCTGCGCCGGCCCACACCCCAGCCCCTGTCCCCGCCCAGGACGCGCGGCGCGCGCGGTACGACGCGCGAGGCGCTGCGGAGGCGCGATACCTCGGGAGGCTGCGGACCACATGTCCACGCGACGTAGTGCGCGAGACGCGCTCATCTAGGCGCGCGCTCTCGAGGCTCACATCGGGCCTGCAGACTCGGTCTCGATGGTCGGATCGCAGCCAGAGGCGCACGGGCTGCACCACATCGCCTTCAAGGCGGCGGCTGGGCGGCACCGCCCTAGTCATCGCCCCACCCCGCTACCCTCCCCGAACCTCGCCCTCGCTCGCCCTTCCGCGGCCACGCCCTGCGCGCCGGCGTGCCGCGCCGGCGAGGACTTCATGGGGGACTTGCTCACGGTGCACCGCATGTCTGCCGGGGAGGCGTTCGATGACGGCACACACTTTGGCGGGGGCAGCCTGCAGGGCAGCTTGCACGGCAGCGTGCACGGCAGCGCCGCGAGCCTCACCCTCTCGTTCGACTCCGACAGCAGCAGCTCGCGCTCTAACGCGCCGCAAGGCGTGTGCGTGCCGCTCTCCGCCATCACGGCGCGTGTGCCGTGCGCGCGGGGAGGGCCCGTGTCGTGCCCCCACGCACCCGACTCCGCTCACCTCCCCCTCGCATGCCTGCCCCACGCCAGGCGTTCGAGCCGCTGGTCGAGACGTCGGAGCGAACCGAGGGCTCCTACCGCTCCTCCCTGCCAGCCTCGCCCGCGCGCGCAACCTCGACGCGTGGTCGTACGACCTCTCAAATCGCAGGCGCGGTCAACCCATGAGAGGGCACTCTCAGCATCTCTCTCCCGCGCGCGGTCGGCGGTGCTCCGGCGCGGGCCGACACCGCTGCGTCCCGTGAGCGCGTGCTGTGTGAGGAGTCACTCAGTGCTTGCCATTTACTGGTAAATGAGTGGTATTTACCACTTATTTGATTCTCCTGGGGAGTGGTATGGTATGAGGGCGTTCGGAGCGGCCCCCCAAGCCCATAAGTAAGGGTGTGCGTGTGGACCGTGGGTTGACGGAAATCGAGGGACGCGACCCGCTTCGCCACAGACGGTCCCGCCCGCGCCTCGCCGCTCTTGCGCTCTATGACGGCCACACGACCGCAGCTCGTGTGCGTGTGGCCGTCTTTATCCGGAATACTACAACGCGCTCGTCGGTGACGGTGTCCCTCAACCTGCGCCGCACTCGCCACTCGGCGAACCTCGACAGCGCCTTCGGTGGCATGCACCTCTTTGCGACTGAAGCCTGGAGAGCAGCTCCTCTGCTGCTCACACGCTCTGCACAGATGGCACAGCCTACTGTGCGGCTGCCACAGCTGTGACAGCGATGGGCTCGCCCTCACTGACCCTCAGTCACTTGTGCTGCGGCTTGTGTGAGCGACACTGCGCTCGGCGACAGCCGGCACACTGTGAGACCATGGGTGTGAGGTGAAACCACGCTACCAGCGCTTGGTCACATCGGCTCCGAGGCCAGATCCTTCTACTCTGTTAGTGACAAGACTTGTCTACTGGCTGGAGCCGAGCAGGAGGGCCCGGCGCACAACCCCCCTGGTCAACTCACGGACACGGTCCACACACCACACACACACACCGCACACACCCCGCGTAGGATCGTGCTTCGTGGCACACTCAGGCATTTCCCGCTCTCCATAACCTTCTAAGAAAAGAAAGCAAGCTGTGCGCACACACTCCACACCACCCACACCCACACTCACACCCACACGCACACTTTACGCACGCACCACCGCTTCCCCACAGGCACAGCCCTGGCGCCCCGCCACAAGCGGGCCTCTTCAAGCGCACAACATTGAGGCACAAGTTGGGATCAATCAACAGTGAGATTCTCAATCTCGACACTGTGGATCCTCCACGTGTGCGCTGCTTGCCGCTATTTTGCCTTTGCACCCGGCGCGTCCTTGAGCGCGACCCCGGCCGCCGAAAAGAAGAAGGCCGTGCTCTCAAAGGCGTAGATCGCAAACCACAGAAACACGGTGACGTAAGGCCAGGTTGTCATCCCGACGTCAATGAACTTTGGCCAGACCATGGGTACGAGCGAGCCTGCTAGAGCTACAAATGTGTTCCATCCCAGGCTTACTTTGAGGCTGCCGCCCCGGAGGGAAAAGAAGCCGATCAGCCCGTTGATCAGCCCCAAGCAGACTGGGCCAGCGGCGTAGGAGTTCACCTCGTCGGGAAAATAAGCACCGTAGCGACCTTTGTCGGTCAAGAGCACGACGATGAGCAACCCATGGGTCACAGCGTTTCCCACGTTCGCCCATCCCGACAACAGCCGGGCGAGACGAGCAGGGAACGACGCAGGCTCTTTTGTCGGCGCGCTCGCGTACAGGGCTATTGAGCTGTAGAACACGGCGCAGAGAGCCGCGATGAGTAGCAAGAGCGCAAGGACGATGCCACCGTCATTTGCCATCGTCGGATCGATGTGACTGCGACTCGTCGCTCGCACTCTCTTCGCCGCGACGATCGTCCCTCGTTTCGGACAGGAAGAAAAACGCCTCGCGGAAAATTTTCTTTCGGGGACACGCGGGTTCCGGCTCCTCCAGATAGACGAGTACGTTTGGCTTTTTTCGCGGGCGCGCGCCCATGAGGGGATAAGGAGTGATCCATTTTACATGGCCACGCTCCAGCCGCGCAAGCGGCGGCTATCACTGGCCCGGTTGGGCCTGCCAGCACCGACCGCCTCTTTGGCCGACGCGTCGACAGCTCAGACGGCATCTCGCCACCAGCCCGCGCTTCGCCGAACGATGAGGGTGCGGCTCTGATTGCCATGATTGTGGTGGTTACGGTAGCAGGCGGCAAGTTTTCGTGGTCCGTTGCGCTGCAACGATGATGAACAGTACCCTCTGCTGGCCAATGTGGAGGGGCAAGTCAGCGCCTGAGACTAGTGGGGTGGCAAGCCGCGTCCGCCTCGACGGCACGACGCCTTTCTGGTGTCGACCGCGCCCCTCCCGGGGCACGGCCGGACGGCGCGCACTCCCACTCGCCGTGAGAGAGAGAGATTTTTAGCAACACCAAAGAACTCTAACTTGTTGCCGTCTGTGAGCCTGGGCCTAGCGCAGCGCTAGCTCGCCGTCTGAGCCTAGCGCAGCGCGAAATAACTCGCTCTGAGCCTAGCGTATCACCATTTTGGCTCGCCAACAAGCCTCGACAACAAGCCCTCCGCGCCCCCCACATGCCCACCTTTTTCATAATACCTTTTTCTCTCCGTCCCGTGCCTAGTAGAGAAAGAAAACAGACAGGGAAGGGAGGGATTGGGAGGACGGTATGTCGCCACCTTGGAGCACTTGGAGCACTTGGAGCCACCACAGGGATTTTTAAATTCACCTCCGCCATCACGTTCTTGACTTGAGATTGTGTGTGCATGCATCTGAGCGAGGACGACATCGCCGCGGCGGCTCTCTCGCTATACGCGACCCTCGACCCAGCGGACGCCGCGCAGCCGCTCGACGTTGATCAGGCTCCGCTCAAGGTCTCGTTTGAGATGGTCGTCATCAACATCGGGCCCACGCTCAACCCATCCAACAGAAACGGAATGTCGGAGCTCAACAAGCTGGTCGGCGAGAACCGCCTCAATAGCCATGTGCTGCAGGCGTCGACGTACGACATCTTCGACCAAAGGTGCACACTGTTCCCGGCCTTTGCCAAAACGGTCGTCGTGCAGCAGCGCTTCATCCAGGCGTGGGACATTTTCCGCACCGTGCTGAGCAACCACGCCGGCGACGCACTGGACGTCGCCTCGGACGCAATCGGCGGACAGAAGGGGTGGGCGTTGTGGGCGCAGCAGGAGTCAGCCACGGTCAAGCCTCGCATCACGCAGGTCTCACAGGGCGAGCTAGAGCTCGTCACAAAGTGGGAAGACCTCCAGGCCGTTCTGGACAGGTACGGCGTTCGCGGCGGAGACTACGAGGGCGCCGCAGGAGCTCTGCCCATGCTTGTGGGCAGGATGTGCGCCTCATCGGAGGCGCCGTTTGGCGTCGTCTTTGTGCACGGCACAGATTGCATGCGCCTAAAGGATGCGGCCCGGTCAATCGGCGCCATGCTTGAAAACAGCAAGCCACTGATCGACTACGCCAACGAGACTGGCCTCCCTTGAGTGCCTCTTTGGCATATTAAACACTCTGTCAGCGTCCTGCGGTATGTGCTGATATAGACATGCGTCGGTGTCTCACTCACTCTCTCTCTCTCTGTCTGAGAGCTCGCTTGTGTGCGGGGGGTCACCTGGCACATGCGGGGCGCGCGTCGCCAGGCAGTTGTGTTTGGTTGTGCATTCTGTGCGCCTATCCTGTGCCCTGCTAGTGATCGTTTTCGATGAAACGCGGCCGCGACCTCCCGAGGTCTCGCGGTAGCCTTTCGGCCCGCCGAGATAGGGGGGGCCCGGGTGCCGTGGCACTGTGAGCAGCTGCGCGGGCCAGGTCGCCGTTCTCGACCCCCCGGTCGGATCGGGACGAACCCAGGCATTCCGGATATCTCCACTGCACGCTCCATCGCCTTGGCGGCCTCTGCATGTCCACGAACTCTTGCTTTGACCGCACTGACACTGTATCACGCTCTCTTCCGCCCGGATCACTCCCGCAAAGTAGCGGAAGTGGTCGATTGAGAGCGGGATGTCGGCCGCCCGGGAGGTGGGGTGCTAGTATGAGCCCGATCCGTGGCAGAGTTCTTTCTTGCTACGGCTAGTGCCAATTCACTCTGACACGCTAATCTTGAAAACGTCCAACGGAGCTCCGTGTTGCTCCCAGCGCCCTCCCCCGCGCTCCCTGCGGCCATGGCCGATGATGCTAGTATGAGAGGTCATCTGGCTACCGCGAGAGCGACCCAACTCGTCGACATCGTCCGATGATGGTGCCGCAAAGTCAGCCTTCGGAGGCTATCGTGGCGTCGAGCCGGCAGTAGCCGTGACATGTGGTTCCACCACCCCTCGTAGGCTTTGCCTCTGACCGCCACCGTTCCCAGGCTACCTAATGGGATGGAAAGGAAGGCTCGGCGAGCATATAGAAGCGTGCTCGACCTCGTCGTGGCAGCCTGCATGGCAGCGCTGGCGGGCGCGATGAGCGTCGTGCCACCTGACCCGAGACGGGTCGCAGGCGTCGTACCGAGCGCGTCGAGACCGTGTCCTGATGTGATCTGCACGGGTGAGTCACGTCGGCGTCAAAGGAGCGACGTGCGACCTGTCAGAGCTTGATCACCGATCTCAGCGGTGTCGAGTCGTCTCCGGCGCGCGACAAAGGTACATACCCAGGACGCGCAGCTGCCTCTGGAAGGCACCGAGATGTACCTTTTTGCGCAAATGGTCACATCCAAGGTTTTGTAACGCGAGTCTTGCCACAGTGAAATGGCACTAGCCTACAAGCGCTTGATGGGTAGCGTAATTACTAGCGTCGGGTCGCTCCTCCTCGCAAACCCTGTCCAGCAGAGTCCTCCTCCGGGAATGTACGTAAGAGCCACATATACACTCAAATTTCTCCGCGCACCTGTGAGGTGAGAGTACCGTCCCCCGGTAGAGTCGTAGTGTAGGAAACCAAATAAGAGCGCCGACCAATTCGGCCCCTTGCGGCCTTCTCTCGAGGTCTCGAGATACACACAGCGGCCAAGAGAAATCCTTTGTCTAAGTAAATACTGTCTTCACGTGCCCGCATACCAATACTTCAGCCCCCCGCAGGCTCTGAGCAGCCTCCCAAGTCCATTCCCAAAGAGGGCCGTGGAGGTGAAGTTCCCTCGCCCGCGGTACAACCGCTCTGCAGCGGTCAGGCTGACCGAGCCGTGCACCAGCTGGTTTAGCATCCCGTGCATGAAATCTCGGCCACGGTTGAGCCTTGTGTACCCGCCGAGCTCGGGCAGCAGCACGCAGCCCTCGAACTTGTGCACGTTCTGTGCCACCATCAAGCCTGCGCGTTCGGTGCGAGTCCTGATGGAAGCAACGGCATGGTAGAGGTAGTCCACGATGCTCATGAGGCCGTGCGCACATGTGTCCACGTGGAGGCCGGAGTCCTCGTCGTTGATCGATACGCGCACCACACTCATCCGCTCCACCACTTGCTCTCTGTCTCGGCTGAGGGCACACCCCACCCGGAGCTGCCGATGCGCCGCGATGTGAGCATCTTCCGAAAGGAACTTGTGCTGTGGCCGCATAGCCTTGCCCTCCCCTCTCGGACCGGTGAGGTACGCGCCAGGGGAGACAAACTCGTCCTGGCAGCCGCCCAACGACTCGTTTGCGGTGATCACCAGCAAGCGCGAACGTGCCAGCCCTCTGAGAGCTGACTTGAGTGGAGCCGATCTCAAAGCCTTGCTTCGCATGCCCGTGTCTCCACGGATGACCGTATGCGCCTTCGCAGGGTACACCTCCCCCCAATAGGCGGCCCTGCCCTTGAGTTGCGGCCGCGGCGAAGGGCGCACTACACCTACCACGTTGATGGTCTGTGTGGGGTCCTCCGCGTGTCGATCCTGGACGACTGGAAACACATGGTCGCGGCCCGGGTTAGCAGCTGATGCGACAGCCTCCCTGACGTTGTCTGCGCGCAAGAAGTGGGCTGTCGCCTGGGCTCTGCCGGCGAACTCTCCGCCGCGTCCGCCGGCGGAGCTCTCCCGCGCGCCGCCAAGCAGCCCGTCAGCGTGCACGCTGGGATCGCTGCCGCCAGCGGAGAGCTTGGAGCAGCCGACACACGTGAAGGCACCCTGCGGCAAGCCGAGCAGCCGGCGCTCGTCGCACGAGCGGTGAACAAATTTACCGCACGTGTCGCACGCAATGAGTTCGTGCCCCTCGGTCCACTGGCCGCCGCCGCAGACGACGCACCTCTCCTCCTCACCCGGCGGCGCGTCGTCATCGTCTCCATTGTAGGCTCCGTCCTCATCTCTGGATGTCATGGCCGTGTGGATGTCGAGCGCCTTTGCTGCTGATCCGAAGTGAGGAGCGGCCGCTTCGACGTGGCGTGTCAGCAGCGTCTTGGCGCGCCATGCCGTTGCCTCCTCCCGCGGCGGCGGAGGAAGAACCGACCGTGGAGTCCGCTGCAGCGCCGCCTGCTTGCACGCTTGCTCCGTTGCATAGCGGCGCACGGCGTCTGCCTCCTCTCCTGGAACAACACGTAGGATTACGAGCTCAGCCCGAATGTGCATCCCGGCCGTAAGAAGGTCGACAGGGTTGAGCTTGAGCGCGACTGCGGGCGACACGCCTACGCCCTGAACCATGGGATAGACTTTTGTCAGGCCAGAGATGCCAGTGCACTTCGACCCATCGACCACACGAATCTGCACCACGGCAGTCGGCCTGTGTGGGCGAACGGGCAGCACTTGGGCGCCACGGATGACGGTCTCTCCATCCCTCTCCTCGACCGATTCCGCCGCGAATGGCTGCACGAGCTCCACCGTTTCAAAGATCCCGAGGTCGATGAAGGGACCACAGACAGGATCTCGCACACCGTCCCCCTCAACGCCCCAGCAGATCGGCTCCTTGCGAATGGTTGTGGCGAAGCTCTCCAGGGAGGCGAGCCGAAGCTCTGTGCACGCTTCAAATTCGCACCACCAGCATCCACCCTCCCACCGCATCGGATCGGGGAGTCGGCCGCCGCCGCTGGCGTGGCCATCCCGCACGAGCCGCTTCAGCGCTCTTGCCGGCCTGTTGCGTCTGCATCCGTTTTGGTCCAGAATCTTTGAGGCGGCTCGCACGCAAAACTGTCCGCTGAAGGTGCCGTGTGTGGCACACACGAGCGCAAAGTCGTGGCCGCCGTTCACCTGGTGAATGGCGGAATCGGTGTGCTGGACGTGGTGGCTGTGTGGCACGCCGCTAGGCGGAATCGGCTGCTCGGCAATGTACGCCAGGACTCCTTGGGCAGAGCTGGGGGTCGCCCAGGCCGCCACGGCCTCCGAGTCGCTCACAAGCACTTGGCACCGTTGCCGTTGCAGGCCGCCAATCTCCTGAAGACATCGCTCCACCTGTGCACGGTGTTGCCCCACGGACGGATCACCGGCCACGATTGCCGCTGCCGTCTGAGCCAGTTGCAGGCGATCGCTGCTCTGGACATTCTTGTTGTTGAGCAAAAAGGTTGGATCGTCCACCGGGGCACTCGCGGCGTCTGGTCCCTCTGTGGGGATGGGCACAGCCAACGGCGCTGCGCGCAAGATATCCGCCTTCACGGTGCGGTATTCTCGGCCGCTTTCCCAGTCGTCGGACCGGCGCTTCATGAATCGTGTATGAAGGACGCGCTACGCGGGCGCACGCCGATGGCCTCTCGCCTCGCCGTCGGATCGCGTCATATGATTGGACGGACCACCTTATGAGCTTAGCCTTCGATTTTTTATTTTCTGGCTTCTGCGAAGCGGCGCTCTATCTGGATCCAATCCTGGAGACCAGGACGCGCTCCCATTTTTCAAAGTGGGCAAGTAGGATCAGACCATGGCTCAGAAGTGAGTGAGTCAAAACCGAGCCCGGTAGACTTGGTCTCCATACTACCATGCATGGGAGGTGGCCCAATCCTGGGAACCAGGACGCAACCCCATTTTTCAAAGTGGGCAAGTAGGGACAGCTCACCATAAATGGGCCGTTTTGACGCCTGTACAAAAGTCGCGACACCTTCTTTCGGCACCAGCAGGCGCACATCGCTCTCAGGGGGGGGGGGGGGGGGGGGGGGACCCCCCGGAGGCTTCACCACATGCTATGGGGGGGGGTCATGGACCCCCCCACCCAGAGACTCGTGGTCAGACTCTCCGGGCCCTTGATTTTACGCCTCATTTCGCAGCATTTTCGAGGGGAAATTGCGGGAAAATCATCCTTTGGGCACTCCAGAATATCACGCATGAGTATAGTACGGTGCTGTGTGTTCTCAAACTGTGTACCAGGGCACCCTGGTCCATCATGCATGTACATGTTGTGCATGTGTGTCTTCCTCTCTCATGTGCACTGACCTCCACCTGCCCATCTAAGGCAGTGGGCGGTGGTGCACCCATGCGCCTAGACGCATCCGCCAATGAACTGTCTGTCCGCTAGCACCACTCCCCCTACTTCGTATCCGTGATCCAAGTCCCTGGGTCTCCAGAGTGTCCGCCTCCTACAGCAGCGGCGGTGGCGCACCCATGCGCCCGAACGCATCCGCATACAAAACAGTCCATCCACCAGCGCCGCTCCCCCTACTCCAGATCCGATTCTGCCGCCATCTCCTGCGAGTCAACCAGCGTCGCCTGCGAGTCCTCCTCCACCTCGGTCGCCTGCGAGTCGGCCTGCTCCTCGTTCACCTCCTCGTTCACCTCCGTCATCGGGGAGTCAGCCTCCTCCTCCTCCTCCATCGCCTCCTCCTCCTCCTCCATCGCCTCCTCCTCCTCCTCCTCCTCCTCCTCCATCGCCTCCTCCTCCTCCTCCGCCTCCTCCTCCATCGCCGCCGCCTCCACCTCCTCCTCCTCCTCCTCCTCCTCCTCAGGCGGCGGGCGGAGGAGGTCGAGCGACGCGGCGGCGTTGGCGTTGCCCGGGTCGAGGCGGAGGCAGGTGTAGAAGGCCTGCAGCGCGAGCGCCGGCTGCGACATCTTTGCGTGTGCGGTGCCGACCCGGGACCACCCCTTTGAGAAGTTGCGGTCCAAGTCGACGCACCGCTTGGCGTGCAGCAGCGAGTTGGGCCAGTCCTTGAGCGACGCGTACACGGCGGAGAGATTGGAGTGCAGCTTGTGCGCCAGTGCGTGGGCGCCACTCGGGTCGTGCGAGATGGCCTGCAAGTAGAGCCTGCGCGCCTGGGCGAGGTTGCCTGCCTGGTAGGCCTCGTTGCCGTTCGCGCGGAGCGAGTCGATGGCCTTCTCCTGCTGCGGAGATAGCTGCTGCTTGGGCGTCTGCAGAACCTTGACGAAACGAGGCGCGACGCGCTCCTCCGAGTCGCCGTCGTCGGCCTGCTGCGCGGCCTGCTTCTCGGCAGCGGCCCGCGGGGCACCCGAGGGGCCGGCGGCGCCGCCTCCTGCCTTGGCCTGCGCGGCGCGCTGCGGCGCCTCCTCCTCCTCCTCCTCCTCCGCCTCCGCCTCCTCCTCCTCCTCCGGCGGTGGCGAGCGGGCGGTTGCCGCGTGGATGGCCAACGAGCGCCAACTGCCGGTTACGGAGTCGGCGGCCGCGTTGGTGAGCTGCTCGAGCAGCAGCCTATGTGGATTGAAAATACGGATGACGCGGCCAACCGCCTGCCCGACGAGCCCCGGGAGGCAGCAAGCCCAGTCAGCGGCCCGCTGTTGAGGGCGCGCACTCGCCGCATCGCGGTGATGGCCGCGGCCATGAAAGCCGGGCGGTGCGCCTCGGGGATCAGAAGCCCGCTGTTGCCTCGCAGCAGCCCCCTCACGGCGGCGCTGGCCCACGTGTCGACCGTCTCGTCCGGTTGCCGCAGCTCCACGCGCCCGCGCTGCGGCGTCCGCGCTGGCGACTCCTCGCGCCTCCCCGCCGGAAGCGCCGCCGGCGGGTGCATTCTGTACTCCTCCGCCTGCAGCCGCCGCGCCATCGCCTCGTCCCTCCCCACCACCTCGTCAGTCTCCGGCACCGGGCGTGCGCGCGCCGTCAGAGGGAGAGTCGCGGGCGGCGCCTACGATCGAGCTAGCGCGTGGCCACGGGGGGAGGGGGGGGGGTCAGGGGTCTCTCCGAAGCGTGCAGGACGAAAGTGAAG